TGCTCTATCAGGTCACCCAGATTAAAGTCCTGGGAGACAAACTGCCTGGGCCACGGTGTTTCTCACATCAGATCTTCTTTGGGGCATTGTGTCCCCTGTCACTCCTGATTCCAGAGGCTGGAAAGTATGAAGATGGCTTCAGCTGCAGAAAAGAAGACCTGACGGGTTTGACGGCAAGAGTGGAGCAGTGCCTGTGGGCCCAGGATCACCAAACCCTTACTGAAGACTTCTAGACTCTAGACCTGGGAATTTGTCATTTGAACATGTTCACCAGACAGCGGTGCTATGCAGCCAAGCTTGGTAGCTGCTGTTCTGCAGAAATGATAGGATAAAGGGGGAGATTATTGAATTTACTTTTTTTTCTCAAGATTTAATTACTTTTTTTTTTTTTTTTTGATTTTTCAAGACAGGGTTTCTCTGTGTAGCTTTGCGCCTTTCCTGGGACTCACTTGGTAGCCCAGGCTGGCCTGGAACTCACAGAGATCTGCCTGTCTCTGCCTCCCGAGTGCTGGGATTAAAGGTGTGCGCCACCACCGCCCGGCTAAGATTTAATTACTTTTTTATTTTTATTTTTTTATTTATTTAATGCTGAATGTTGTTTATTGAAGGATTGAATTTACTTTTAAACTATAAAGCGACTGCTAGTCTCAAATAGTTTACATTGGTATAGATTTTTGTATATTGATACAAATGTAAGGTTATTTTTCTTATAACATACTGTATATATGTTTCTACTCTTGTTTAAGGTATTGTACCTATGCAGCTCATTTAAAAATGTTCTAGTACTTGAAAGCTATTATTACAAACTATTTAGAACAGTTAAGAAATGCGGGTTAGTAGTTACTCATCTATAATAATCAAACTTGTCGTGTTAGGTATGTTTCAAGGTCAACCAGAGATGTAGTTTAGATAGAGATCTAAAATACACTTCAGAGAGCTACAGAATATGGTATTTAAGATGTTTTAGTAAGGCTTTTCATGACAATGAGATATGTCTGCTCCTTGCAGCACCAATCTACTTCAGAGAAGATGGGAATTGAAGAACCTCTATATGAAGTTTGCTTTCATTGTGGCAAAGTTAGTCACTGGGCAAGAAACTGCCCTTGCCTCAACTGCTGACAGCATGCTGTCCAAATTGGACAATCAGGACACAGAAGAAGGCAACTGCTGAACTTTGCCAAGACAAGGTAGGACAGTCCTTCAGAATTCCTGCTTCACAGAAAAGTCTGTCAGATATTCTAGGCCTGTAGGCCAAAGATGAATGTCCCAATGTTGCAGAGGAAACCTTGGTGACTGTCCAGGCCTCCAGCTATCTCTGTCACTCCTACAGTTTTGGAAGTTTTTTGCTCTGCACTTCCTGTTCACTCGGGATAATATATTATCCTTCTCTGGTCTCTGATATGGGTTAAAGACTAGATAGTTATACCGTCTTCCTTGTTACTAAATTCAGAAAAGAAAGTTATGAAAGAGATGTAAAGTTTACAAGGTTGAGAGTCAGAAAAGCCTATGTGACTAACCTAAGAAAATGTTTTAAGGTCTAAATATATTTTTAGGTTGATAATACAAGTTATGATAGAAAGTGGTTTAGGTATAAAAATTAGGACTCACAAAGATAGGATAGATAATATTGTATTTTCTCTGAATTTTCCAAATACAAATGGACTGGACATTGTGAATTTAATTCTCACCTGATAATTGTTCTTATTGTTTATAGTTTTTTTTTGTTGCAAATTTATATTCTGCCAAGATAATATATACATATTTTTGTTTTAAAATATTCACTTCCTGGGTAAAAGTGAAATAAACAAAACACTGTCTAAATCAATAACAAAGTTCTTAGAACTGTCCACAAGATGATATTTAGCATGACAGTGTGATGGAAAAATGGAGATGTGTTTTGATGAAGTAATCAGACATTTAGAAATGTTCTTTAGTTCAAGATGTAACTTTATCTCGTATACTTGTAGGTCTCATACACTTCTTGTCTCAGGACATAAGAAGAAAAGTACACAGTAAATATGTATGGTTTTTGCATGTTCAAGTTTAAGTGGTTAGTTTGTTGATGGTCAGTCTACTCTCGTTTCCTTTAATAACATGGTGTTGTACAATGCATGTACACATGCTGTTACCAGGCATCTGAGCAACTCCACATCTACTGACTTGTGATACTTATTAGGGAGACAAAGAAGAAAGAAGATCTAGCCCTTTCATGCAAGGAGCTGGAACTCTCTACATCTGTCTTCTAATCTGAAAAGCATACAACTTCCCTTACCATGGTCTCGGTCTGTTCAAAACCATTACATTATTTTTTCCTTTGGGCCTCGATCAGAAGGACTTGAGCCCCCCATGAGTGTTTATAGTTTTATTGTGTTAGAGTTAAACCCTTTCCTTTTTATTTAGACAAAAATAGGAAAATGTTGTGGGACAATCTTTGTACACTGTGAAGATATGTCTCTGCCAAGGCACCTTCTGATTGGTTTAATAAATAACTGAATGACCAATAGCTAGGCAAGAAGAATCTGGAGCAAGGATTTGGGGCGTGGCAGGGGGAGAGAATGACACAGACAGGGGATATATAATACAGAGGAGAGGTACGAGCCATGTGGCAGAATTTAGATTAATATAAATGGGTTAATTTAAGTTATAAGAGCTAGTTGGTAACAAGCCTAAGCTAAGGCTGAGCCTTCATAATTAATAAGAAGTCTCTGTGTCATTATTTGGGAGCTAGCAGTCAAAAAAATGTCTGGATACAGCTCTGTGTGCCTAGTCCATGTATTGGGGTGGGGGTCTCCCTAAAGGCTCAAGGTTCAGGTAGCTCCTATAGAAGTAGTCAGGAGAGTCCTGACTGGTGTTTTTGAGGGAGCTATACCAAGCCAAGAAGTGGTCTATGGGGCTGATGCATGAAGAGAACAGAGGATAAATGTCAGAGTTAGTGACACAGCTGCCTTTTGTTCTGACATCCTCCACGTCCCTTCTATCACCTGTGGAATATTTCCTTACACTGTGTGAATATTCGTTGCTATGGTTGGTTTAATAAAGAAACTGACTGGCCAATAGTTCAACAGAATAAAGTTAGGTGGGAGAGCGAAGCTGAGAATGATGGAAAGAAGGGTGGAGCCAGGAGAGTCACCAGCAGATACAGAGAGAAGATGGGCATGTCTACTGAGAAAAGGTACCAAGCAGCCCGGCGGTGGCGCACGCCTTTAATCCCAGCACTCGGGAGGCAGAGCCAGATGGATCTCTGTGAGTTCGAGGCCAGCCTGGTCTACAGGGCGAGATCCAGGACAGGCTCCAAAGCTACACAGAGAAACCCTGTCTTGAAAAACCAAAAAACAAACAAACAAACAAACAAACAAAAAATGCCCCCCCCCAAATGCTGAAGGGGTTACAGTGTGCTTGGGAGAAAGAAGAGAAAGAGTATATAAAAATAGTTTAAGAATAATAAGGGCTGGAAATGAGGCTCAGAGGTTAAGAGCACTGGCTGTTCTTCCAGAGGTCCGGAGTTCAATCCCAGCAACCACATGGTGGTTCACTACCATCTATAATGAGACCTGGTGCCCTGGGCGGTGGTGGTGCTCACCTTTAATCCCAGCACTTGGGAGGCAGAGGCAGGTGGATCTCTGTGAGTTCGAGGCCAGCCTGGTCTACTGAGTGAGATCCAGGAAAGGCGCAAAGCTACACCGAGAAACCCTGTCTCAGAAAAAACAAACAAACAAACAAAAACAAAAGCAAAAGCAAGCAAACAAAAAAGGAATAATAAACTAGTCTTTAAAAAGGGAGTAAAGTATTATAAAAGAAAAAAGACATGTAAAGATGGAAACCACAGGGTCTGGATCCTGTATGTTATTGTGTTGTCTTTGAAATTTTTGGCTGCTAGGACACACTGGATTATGAGGGCTGTTAGATTAAATCAACCTATGTATTTTGGAAATGTCTTGAATTCAGAATTTAAGTCAAAAGGTGTATTGCTTTGGGGGAGAGGTTGTGCTTTTATTTCTACAGGAAATTAGAGGCTGTGTATTCATTTCTGGTTAAAGAAAATCAGGTTTGATCAGGGAAGACCCCCTGAAATCTTGTCTACAGGCATTAAACAACAACAACAACAAAACAAAAACTAGAAGAACTACAAAACACATGACATATATTTTACCTGCTCAAACTTAAAACAAAAAAAATCATCTTTAACTGACTTGTGCACACCACATATTCCATACTTGTAATGCATGTTACCTTTAAAAGTTCACTTATTTTCAGAATAAGAAGAAAAAACACCAATAAAAACAGATGGCCCAGATAATCCAACATCTCAGGTGCCTCTGTTACAATTTCCTCCAAATTCTGCATCCAGAACAGCTTCAAGTTTGATGGATGAGATGACCCAACCTCACAGACTACTCCAGCCAAGATTTAACAATTATCCTGATTTTCTCAAGATTCCCCCAAAGGTATCAGCATCTCCAAACAACAGGAAGTTGTCTAGAGAACGACACCCAAATTCCCAAAACATGGGTTATAGATGTTTATTATCACTTAACAGGGGTTGATTACAAGTTGTTATTGATTATAGTTAAAAAAAAAAGCTAAACAAAGGAGTTAAATTAAAAGATCTCTTTCTAAAGAAAAAAAGGGGGGTATGATATAGAAATGATGAGATAAAAGGGCAGATTATTGAATCTACTTTTAAACTAAAAAACTAACTTTAAAATATTTTACATTGGTATGGATTTTGGTTTATTGATACAAATTTAATTTTGTTATACTATATTATGTTTCTACTCTTGTTTGGGGTATTATGTCTATTCAGCTCATTTTAAAATGTAATACATAATTTAAAAATACAGATTAATAGTCATCTATAATAGTCAAATTTACACTATGTTAAGTATGTTTTCAAGATCATACACAGATATATTTAGATAGATAGATGGTCTTTAAACACTTGAAAGATCTACAGAATATGACATTTAATACATTTAATAACCTAAGGCTTTTCATGACAGTGACACTTGTGTGCTCCTGGCAAGACCAATTTACTTCAGAGAAGATGATGGGCATCAAAGAAATTCTGTATGGAGTTTGCTTTCTTTATGGAAAAAGCTAGCCATTTGGGCAAAGAAACTGTCCTTGCCTCAACTGCTGACAGAGCTCAGAGGAGGGCTGGGGTGGAAGACAGCAGGATGTAAAAAAAGCAACTGATAAACAAGGTAGGACAGTTTTCAAAATTTCCTGCTTCTCAGAAATGTCTGTCAGATATACTAGGCCTGTAGGCCAACGTTGGATGCCCCAATGTCACAGAAGAACTTAGGGTGACTGTCCAGGCAGCCAGATATCCCTGTCATTAGTTAACGTTTCACCCTTCTGGGAGATGAAGTTGAAGACTAGATAGTCAAAGTCTTCCTTAGTTATGATAAAAGGTAAATGAAGTATAAAATTTTAGTGTCACAAAGATAAAATAGATAGATAATCGAGTATAATCTCTAATTTTGCCAAAGATAAATGAACTAGATATTGTAACTATAATTCTTAATTGATAACTTTTTGTTGTATATAATCTTACTATGTTAAAATTAAAACTTTCCTTTTTAATTAGACAAAAGGGGCAAATGTGGAATATTCCTTTATGCTGGGTGAATATATGTTGCTGAGATTGGTTTAATAAAGAAGCTGACTGGCCAATAGCTCAACAGGATAAGGTTAGGCAGAAGAGCCAAACTGATACTGATGGGAAGAAGAAGGACAGAGTCAGGAGAGTCACTGGCAGATGCAGAGAGAAGCAAGATAGGCATACTGTTCTGAGAAAAGGTACTGAGCCATGTGGCAAAGTGCAGGTAAGAAATGTGGGTTAATTTAAAATGTAAGACTTAGCTAGTAACAAGCCTGAGCTATTGGCCGAGCATTTACAACCAATATTAAGTTTCTGAGTGATTATTTGGTAGTGTTCACCAGCACAAGAAAACTCTGTCTACAATCATCTACTGTGCTCATACAGGAGTAAACAGCAGAGCAGCATGGTGATGTCTTTTTCCCTTGCTATCTCCCCCCATGAGGCTATGCTATGGTTTCCATTTGAGATCTGGCAAACCTCTGCAGTGGCAGGCTCTCTATCTACCCTAATTCTAGCTGAAACACCAGCACTGGCAGCTACTTCCTTTTAGCTGGACAGTATCCCCAATGCCCAAGGTGAGAGAATGTGTAATGGTATGAGTTGGGGGGAACCATGTGGTATTTTTATATATTTTCATCATCAGCCACAGCTGCTGCTGTTTGAAAAACAAACACTCTGTGAGTTCGAGGCCAGCCTGGGCTACATAGTGAGTTCCAGGAAAGGCTCCAAAACTACACAGAGAAACCCTGTCAAGAAGAAGAAGAAGAAGAAGAAGAAGAAGAAGAAGAAGAAGAAGAAGAAGAAGAAGAAGAAGAAGAAGAAGAAGAAGAAGAAGAAGAAGAAAAAC